TGTGAGCCACCGCGCCAGGCCAGAACTTGCTCATGTTAAGTTTGTAATGGGAAAATACAACCAAATCTTTTTTCTTTTTCTTTTTTTTTTTTTGAGACGGAGTTTTGCTCTTGTTGCCCAGGCTGCAGTGCAATGGTACAATCTCGGCTCACCGCAACCTCCGCCTCCCAGGTTCAAGCGATTCTCTTGCCTTAGCCTCCCAAGTAGCTGGGATTACAGGTGCATGCCACCACGCCTGGCTAAGTTTGTATTTTTAGTAGAGACGAGGTTTCTCCATGTTGGTCAGGCTGGTCTCGAACTCCCGACCTCAGGTGATCCGCCTGCCTGGGCCTCCCAAAGTGTTGGGATTACAGGCGTGAGCCACGGTGCCCAGCCACACCCAAATCTTTCTCACCTAAACTACACCAAGTCTATGCTTCTCATAACTGTCCCTCCCTGGTCCAGGAACTACTGTCATGATTTCTGCGATACTGGTTTTCTTCGTATCTTTACCGTTTGCCAACTATGTATGCATAATGTTTAGTTTTGTCTGTTTTGGAACTTTATGCAAGTGGAATCAGGTTCTAAGTATTGTATAATTTTCTTATTTCTCTCAAAATTAGGTTTGTGAGATTCATCTACATTAAACATGTGGCTTTGGTTTGTTCATTTTCTTTTCTTTTCTTTTTTTTTTTTTTGAGATGGAATCTTGCTCTCTCGCCAGGCTGGAGTGCAGTGGCACAATCTCGATCTTGGCTCACTGCAACCCCTGCCTCCTGAGTTCAAGCAATTCTCCTGCCTCAGCCTCCCAAGTAACTGGGACTACAGGTGCATGCCACCTCGCCCAGCTAATTTTTATATTTTTAGTAGAGACAACCATGTTGACCAGGATGGTCTCCATCTCTTGACCTCGTGATCTGCCCACCTGGGCCTCCCAAAGTGCTGGGATTACAGGTGTGAGCCACCGCACCCGACCAGTTTGTTCATTTTCATTGCTGTAGACTATTCCATTGTATGTTAAAACTTTAAAAAAATCTAGTCCACTGTTGATGAACATATGTGTCCTTTATTTATCGTATTATGAACTATGCCACTGTGAATATTCATGTGTCTCCTGGGGCACATGGGCAATGTCATTGGTAACCAATTATTTGATGTATTTATGTGTTATTCCCAATGTCCTTCAGAACATAAGAATCACATCTTTTATACTTAATAAAGACTTTGAGCATACATCTGTTTTCTTAAAATATATTCCTAGGGGTGGAATTGCTGGGTCCTAGGGTTTACCTAAAAATATGACAATGTTCAGTATTCTTGATGCTCCTATCTGATTTCAAAATGGCTTTTTCAACTACTTCCTTCACACGGAGAGCCCTAGGTGTCCAAATCAGATGCCTGACCATTTCTGAGGGACCTTGATCTTGAGGGCCTGGCTTCAAGCCTCATTATCAATGGCAATAAATTTGCCACTCTCTCACTGGAAGGAGCCCCTTCTATTTTATTTTTATTTATTTTTATTTTTTGAGAGGGAGTCTCACTCTGTTGCCCAGGCTGGAGTGCAGTGGCACAATCTTGGCTCACTGCAACCTCTGGACCTCCTGGGTTTAAGCAATTCTGCCTCAGCCCCCCGATTATAGGTGCCCAACACCATGCCTGGCTAATTTTTGTATTTTAGTAGAGACAAGGTTTCACCATGTTGGTCAGGCTGGTCTTAGATTCCTGACCTCAAATGATCTGCCTGCCTCGGCCCCCCACAGTGCTGGGATTACAGGCGTTGAGTCACAGCACCTGGCCGCATCTGCTATCTTTATGGCTTATGCCTCGTGTTAGTCATCACAACAATACAGAGGATGCACTGGGCTGCCCTATCCTGGCCAAAGGTCTCCCTGGTAAGTATGGATTTGCTAATCCAGGAAAATCACTTATGGGGGGGTTGGGCAGGGTGCTGGGGAGACCCTGCTTGCTCTCTCAAATGCACACCAGTCATTTGGGAGACATTCACTGCTTGAAAAACTCGAGTCTGTATATTGGCTCTCCCCTAACGTTGGCAGGACCTGGGGCAAAAGTACAAACAGATACCTTAATTACTTAAAATTACAAACCAGGTCGGACATGGTGACTCATACCTGTAATCCCAGCACTTTGGGAGGCCAAGGTGGGTAGATCATTTGAGGTCAGGAGTTCAAGACCAGCCTGACCAACATGGTGAAACCGTCTCTACTAAAATCACAAAAGTTAGCCGGGCGTGCTGACACACGCCTATAATCCCAGCTACTCAGGAGACTGAGGCAGGAGAATCACTCGAATCCTGGAGGTGGAGGTTGCAGTGAGCTGAGATGGTGCCACTGCCCTCCAGCCTGGGCAACAGAGTGAGACTCTGTCTCCAAAAAATAAATAAATAATAAAATAAAATAAAATTACAAACTACTCCAATTAACCGCTAACCTTAATATAGTCTATTCTTCTACTTGGACAAATCTACATCTTTTAAGACCTGGAAGACCAGGTTTAAATTTAGAATTCCTGGACTCCTGGGAGTTAAGCACATGAATGAGGTGGCGAAGGGAGCATAGGACCTGGCCCAACTATTGTCTCTTGGCTCACTTCTTTTCTCACCTCTGTCCTGCACCACGAGGGATCTGTGGACATAGGAGCTCAAACACCAAAGTGTCGTGTCACCCCCTTAAAATAAAACACAGCTGCCCTTTAGCCCCCCCTTTTTGATGATAATCATTTTAATAGAAATATATCTTCTTTAAAACAAATGATTTAATTAAAGAAAGTAGAAACTGATTCTAATTAGTGGATTTTCTGATTATTATTATTATTATTTGAGACCGAGTCTCGATCTGTCACCCACACTGGAGTTGCACTGGCGTGATCTCGGCTCACTGCAACCTCCGCCTTCTGGGTTCAAGCAATTCTCTGCTTCGGCCTCCCGAGTAGCTGGGAGTACAGGCACCTGCCACCACGCCCGGCTAATTTTTTGTATTTTTAGTAGAGACGGGGTTTCACCATGTTGGCCAGGCTGGTCTTGAACTCCTGACCTCGTGATCCACCTGCCTCAGTCTCCCAAAGTGCTGGGATTACAGGTGTGAGCCACTGCACCTGGCCTATTATTATTATTTTTAATTATACTTTAAGTTCTTGGATACGTGTGCAGAACGTGCAGGTTTGTTACATAGGTATCCATGTGCCATGGTGGTTCGCTGCACCTATCAACCCGTCATCTAGGTTTTAAGCCTCACATGCATTAGGTATTTGACCTAATGCTCTCCCTCCCCTTCCCCCCACACCCCACAGGCCCGGGTGTGTGATGTTCCCCTCCCTGTGTCCATGTGTTCTCATTGTTCAATTCCCACTTATGAGTGGAACATGCGGTGTTTGGTTTTCTGTTCTTGTGTTAGTTTGCTGAGAATGATGGTTTCCAGCTTCATCCATGTCCCTGCAAAGTACATGAACTCATTATTTTTTATGGCCTCACTTTATATTCTTTTTATGTTTTGTTTTGTTTTGTTTTGTTTTTGAGACGGAGTCTGGCTCAGTCGCCCAGGCTGGAGTGCAGTGGCGCGATCTCGGCTCACTGCAAGCTCCGCCTCCCGGGTTCACGCCATTCTCCTGCCGCAGCCTCCGAGTAGCTGGGACTACAGGCGCCCGCCACCACGCCCGGCTAGTTTTTTGTATTTTTAGTAGAGACGGGGTTTCACCGTGTTAGCCAGGATGGTCTCTATCTCCTGACCTCGTGATCCGCCCGCCTCAGCCTTCTGAAGTTCTGGGATTACGGGCGTGAGCCACCGCACCCGGCCACTTTAGATTCTTTTAGGGATGCCTAGACTCTGCCCTAGAGAGAATGGATCTGGGAAAGAGGCCACAGCTTCAGCTAACTGGAAAGGGAATTCTGGGGCCACAGGTATTCAGAACTTGGTCCTGAAGTGCCAAACCCTGTGGACTCTCTCACCCTAGGGTGGGATTGCTGGGCCTTAGGATTTCCTTAAAAATATGAAAATGTACGTAATTCCTGATGCTCCTCTTTGATTTCAAAATAGCTTTTTAGGCCGGGTGTGGTGGCTCACGCCTGTAATCCCAGCACTTTGGAAGGCTGAGGCAAGTGGATCACGAGGTCAGGAGTTCGAGACCAGCCTGACCAACATAGCAAAACCCCATCTCTACTAAAAATACAAAAATTAGCCGGGTGTCGTGGAACGCACCTATAGTCCCAGCTACTCGGGAGGGTGAGGCAGGAGAATCGCTTGAACCCGGGAGACAGAGGTTGCAGTGAGCCGAGATCACACAATTGCACTCCAGTCTGGGTGTCAGAGTGAGACTCTATCTCAAAAAAAAGCTTTTTAAACTACCTCCTTGGCATGGGGTGCACTCCAGGTGTTGAAATCAGATGGGGAGTGGTGATTAGAGGGGAGTTCCTAAAGTATGGGGCCCAGGGCAGGTTCTCTTGCCCAGGTATAAAGGGCCACACTTGATTTCTCCTCTCCTGCTATGAGTGCAGGGTCTGTACCTGGCTGTATCTCCAGCATCTATCACCACTGAAAAGCCAAACGTATTTGCTTAATGGATAGTGCACTGGCCTCTGCATCAGAGGACCTAGGGTCCAGGCCCAGTACTGTCGGAAACAGTTCTTCATACTTTATTACCTCGTTTAAACTTTTCTTAGCCATTATATTGATAAAAATTCCAAGAGGTGAAGTGACTCTCCCAAGGTCGCACAGCTAGAAGAGGTAGAGGCTGGAACTGCACCCCGCCATCTGTCCTCCTTTCTTATTCTTTTTCTTTCTTCCCCCACTGTGCTGTGGTGGGCAACCGGGACCGGCCCGTTCGAGACGCCCGGTCTTTACTGCTCTCCCTCTTCTCCAGCTCCGCTCCGCCTTCAGCCTCCCTCTGGCGCTGGGTCAGGCGCCCAGCTCCGCCCGGACCCTCCCCTCCTGCCGCGCTCTCTCCGCGCTCCCGAGGCCCCGCCCCTCCCCTCGGGCCAACGTCACGTGCCGCCCCATCCCCCCGCGCCTGCGCACTGCTTATTTCCCGCTGTCAGGATGAGGAGGCGGAGGTCGGCGGTCGGGTCCGTCTCTGCCGGCGGCTGTGGCGGCGCCGGCGGCTCCAGCCTTAGCGGTTCCTCCCTGGGCGGCGGCGGCGGCGGCTCGGTCGACGCCTCCTCCGCCAGCTGAGCCCGCGGGAGCCCGGGACGCCGCTTCCCCGCCCATCCCCGCTCCCCGAGGCCGGCCGCCTGGTCATGGCGCAGCCGGGCCCGGCTTCCCAGCCTGACGGTGAGGCGCCCACCATGGCAGGCGCGGCGGGCGCGGCCTGCCCGGCGTCGGCGTCGCGGGAGGACTTCGGGGAGGGCAGGCGGCGGGAAGGGTGCGCGCAGGCCCCAGGGGTGACCCTGCCGGGCGGAGACGGGGGCGCGCGGGCTGCGGCGCGCGAGGGCGGCGCGGGCGCCCCGGCGGCCGTCGCTGGGGAGGGGGCGGGAGGCGCCCGTGCAGCGCTTGCGGGAGGACAGAGGGAAGGGCGTGGGGAGGCTGCTGGGTAGCGTGGGGGAGTGTGGGGAGGGAGCGGTTCTGGGTAGCGGGGAACCGGCACGTGGGTTCTGCCCGTGGGGGAGGATGGAAATCGGGAACATGTGCTATATTCGTTAAAGAAAAAAAAATGTTAGGTAGCGTGCCCTCCCCGCGGCCCCAATCCTTGCTATAGAGCTCTTTGCACCCAGTTATGTGACCTGGAAGTAGTTGTGTACAGTAACTGGATTTAGTAGCATTCCTTGAATGGCACTGTGGCTTAATGGTAAGTGTTGGGGCCTGGGTGTCTAAAGGACCTGGATTGTTAACCAGCAAGCTCTGGGCTCATTTGTTAGCCTCGTTGAACCTGAGTATTCTCACACCCGAATTAATCAAGAGGTTAATTCATGCCTTTGTATTTTATCTATAAAAATAGCAACACGAATGTGTATATAAAATAATAGAATTGTTAGGGAGATATTAGGAGTAATGAGAATAGTGTTTGAGAATACTGAGGCCTACTCGCACTACTTGAAGATATTTGCTTGTGGTACTAAAAAAAAATGAAGTGGAAGAAATGTGTCATTTATGGCGTTTATATTCTTGGAAGGGAAAAAAGGGCCTCATCCTAAATAATGAAAGTTGATTGTCAGAGCCCTTCATGATCTTCTGGGAAACTGGACTGAGCTGTGCCTCACAGATTGACTACATGGTTCCAGGTTTTACCACCTAGAATTGATGGTTGGGAGTAGTGTACTTGGTCTTTTCCAAGATCCTACTGTATCTAGTTGTGAAAGTTCTTTCTGGTGTGTTTCTATAATCAACGTGTGTGCTTAGCGTCTTTAAGTGTGAGTAGAGTAGAATGTTGGGAAAAGGGACTTGGTACGGAGTAGGTACTTTAAAACTTGCCTTTGCTTGGGGTTGTCTCAAAATAACCTTTCATGAAACCCTTACTCTTTATTCTTGCCTTTGGGGAACTTGTAACCATATCAGATATTAAGGTTCTGGCTGCTCTCTGGGAAATGTGCTCCAGAGCCTATTAGCCTGTAGTTTTGGGTGGTGTTAGTTGCCTGAGGGGAGATGTCCAGTGAGCGCTTGGACTTTTATATGAACCTGCTTGCTATTTCTGTTTCAGTAAGGGAACGTAAGGGAAGGAAAGTATTTTTGGTGGGCTGTCAGAGAGAGGAAACTGGGATGTTTTCAGGCTGCATTTTAATGATCACCTTTTGCATTTGGTGTCAGGCAAGAAAACTTTGTTTTTCCACAATCCCACTTTCTTACTGCGCAGAGAGGCAGGATACAGAGAGAGCTTGTGGTTCTGATCAGGAGTGATAGGTATGCATAGCTGGCTGCTGCCTTCTCTTGAGTTGCATGGAAACAAACGTTTAGGGCAGCTCAGGTGACATGACAGTCTGGAATCAAAATTCCCTGCCTCTTTCAAGATATGAAATGGTCTTCCTTGTAAATAGGCAGAAGTGACTAAGCACTTGAAAGAGACTAGGGAAAATTAGCTTTAGGAAATCTTGTATTCTTGCTATTTTAGTTCAGATTTATTTCCTATTTTTCAAATCTTGTGACTCTAGTATGATTTTTATTTTAAATTAATGTAGGTAGCCATGGCTACTTTTTACAGTAGGAGAGAGGTAATTTGGTACATTTGAGTGCCTTGTGTCAGTATCTTAGAAGTTCATCTTGGGGATTTTAATTTTTTTTTTTTTTTTTTTTGAGATAGTATCTCACTCTGTTGGCCAGGCTGGAGTGCAGTGGTGCCATCTTGGCTCACTGCAGCCTCGACCTCCTGGGATTAAAGCAATCCTGCCACCTCAGCCTCCCAAGTAGCTGTGACTACAGGTGCATGCCACCATGCCCAGCTAATTTTTGTATTTTTGTAGATACGGCGTTTTGCCGCGTTGCCCAGGCTGGTCTCAAACCCCTGAACTCAAGGGATCCATCTGTCTACGCCTCCCAAAGTGCTAGGATTATAGGTGTGAGTCCCTGAGTCTGGCTTTTGGGGATTTAATTTGTGTCTTTAGCTGAACTCATGTAGACCACTTTAGCTTTAGGCACATTTGGATTTCCTGCTGATTTAAAAAAAAAAAAATTGCCAGAATTCTTTTGTGTCAAACTGGTGGTGAAAGATAACTAACTGCTTAGTCTTTGACTGTATCTCGTTTTATCCCATTTCAGAAGCGATTGTCTTTGATGACTTAAAAAAAAAAATCTATATTGTCTGTTTTTCATGGCCATATGGTAGATTAGGAAAATTGATTTGTGTGTAAATTGAAGGGATGAAATGTAATCACTTTATTCATTTTAATTATTTTGTAAATTAAAAAAGTTTTGGGTTTTTGATACTGCCTCTTAGTTTACTTATTTGGAATATAGGTAATTTTAATAGTTAAATTTCAATTGATCTGTTTTCCCCTGAAAATTCAAAAATGTGAAAAATTTCAAATTTTAATGTTTATTTTAATCTAAGTTCAACTATATCTTTGAAACATTTGCTCTGATTTTACTTCACTTTTTTCTTTTTCTTTTGTAGAGAGGATCTCACTGTGTTGCCCAGTCTGATCTTGAATCCCTGGGCTCAAGTGATTCTCCCGTCTTGGTTTCTCAGTGTTGGGATTACAGGCATAAGCAACTGCACCCAACCCACTTCATTAGTTTTTATTCTTGCCATGTTGACCAGGCTGGATTCCTGATTGTTTCTTGTTAGTTACACAGACATGCTACCTTTTACCCCTGAAGAACATGCTTTACATACATAAATCTGCAACTTCCCTATCTCACTTAATAAATGTTAGCTAGAATATACTCATACATGGTTATATGGCCATGTAATGTTCTGTAAACACTATAGGCGTTATCTTAGGGAATCTTCGTAGCAATGAAGTGAGTACTATTGAAATATTACTGCTTCTATTTTCTTGATGAGGAAACTGAAGCACAGAGAAGTTAAAGAAATGTGCCTGGTGTTATACAGCTACTAAGTGGGGGAGCAGGCTTCAAATCCATGCCATCTGGCTTATGTACTAGATCATGGACTACTTTCCAGGTCAGTGTTGTAGGCCTTCCTCATTCTTGTTAAAGACTATCTCATCATATGCATGTACCATGCATGATTTATTGCCTGTTTCCCTATTGTGGGGCTAGTAGATTGTTTTCAATTTTTAATTATTTTATAAGCAGTATTGTAATGGATGTCCTTGTGCATATTTTTTAGGTACTCTTGTACTTCTGTAAGACTAGTGAATTAAATAAAGGGCATGAGTTCTGAGTGGTTTAAATTTTAATACCTGTAGCTAGCTTACTCTCAAAGGCATCGGTTTACGTACTTGCCAACAATATATGGCAGGTGGATTTCCCCTGTAATCTTACAAGCGCTGGATGATGTCATTTGTTTTAAATTTGTGTCTTTTGATTAAAAAAAGTGATGTTGTTCAGCTGGGCACGGTGGCTCACGCCTGTAATCCCAGCCCTTTGGGAGGCCGAGACGGATAGATCACAAGGTCAGGAGTTCAAGACCAACCTGGCCAATATAGTGAAACCCAGTCTCTACTAAAAATACAAAAGTTAGCTGCGTATGGTGGTGTGCACCTGTAGTCCCAGCTACTAGGGGGGCTGAGGCAGAAGAATCGCTTGAACCTGGGAAGTGGAGGTTGCAGTGAGTCGAGATCGTGCCACTGCACTCCAGCCTGGGGGACAGAGCAAGACTCTGTCTCAAAAAAAAGAGTTGTATTGTTCAGTTAACAAGTATTTGTGTGTCTATTCTATGCCAAATCCTATGCTAGGATCTAGGAAATGCAATGATGAACAAAACCAGACCCAGTCCCTGTTCCTAGGTAGTGAATCATTCAGCCACTAATTAGATAATCCTATAGACATGTACAAAACTATTTATTCAACTAATATGAATGTATACTGTTTCTCAGGCACAATTCTAGGCATTTGGAATACATCAGTGGGCAATATAGATAATAAATAACCCTGCCCTAGTGTGGGAGAAACGGATATTAAACAACAAACGTAAGCAAATGATATGGGTTGTTAGATGATAAGTGCAATGGAAAAAAGAAAACATAGCAGGATAAAGGGAAGGGGGTGGGGTTGGTTTTAAATAGGCTGGTCAGGCAGCTTTATTGAGAAGATGACATTTGTGCAAAGACTTGAAGTAGATAGAGGAGTTAGCCTTGAGGATATCTGGTGGAAGGGTGTTCTAGGCAGGGATCAGTTTTTGCATATGCCTTGAGGGCAGAAGCATGTCTGGTGTGTTTGAGGAATGGCATGGAGGTCAGTGTGGCTGAAATGATGTTACGGGGCCTAGGAGAAGCCTGGAGTAGGATATGAGGTCAGAGAGGTCGTGAGGTGGAGGCAGATCTTGTTGGCCCTGGAGTATTGCAAAGATTGGTTTTCACTATGGGGAACCATTGAAAAGCTTTGAACAGAGGAATGATGTGATCTCACTTAGGTTTAAAAAAAATCGCACTGGGCCAAAGTGCTGGGATTATAGGTGTGGTGGCTCACGCCTGTAATCCCAGCACTTTGGGAGGCTGAGGCAGGTGGATCACCTGAGGTCAGGAGTTCCAGACCAGCCTGGCCAACGTGGTGAAACCCTGTCTCTATTATAAATACAAAAGTTAGACATGGTGATCTCAGCTCACTGCAGCCTCCACCTCGTGGGTTCAAGTGATTCTCCTGCCTCAGCCTCCCAAGTAGCTGGGATTATAGGCATGCACCACCGTGCTGGGCTAATTTTGTATTTTTAGTAGAGA